TCCAAATTCTGCAGATAACACGATGGAAAATAGAGCGATCTCATTGGTCGAGAGCTCACGTGACAACTCGCTAATTAGCTGTCCAACCTCCTCTGGGCGAGAACACAACGGCTGGAATCTGAGCCTAGCATGCCCCCGGACCTCCATAGATGGTCTCGCGCCTTCGGCGTTCGCTTCGCCCCCCCAAAAATGAAGGTCTGGCTACGCCACTGTTACATAACCATTTAACACCTCTTCTATCTTGCGAAAATGACGTCAGGTCAGTTTGCTGGATGGAAAATAGTGCTAACCTAATATTTAATACAGACAGGCCAGCCAGAGCCAAAGGGTCTGCTCGCAAGCTAGAAATTTTGAGGCAAGCACGGTCATACTTCTGTTTTATACAATATGGCAATTGAGGACCAGGGCAAGTCCAAGAAAAGAATGAAAGAATTTAAGTATATGACACCTTTACAAGTGTTTGTTATATTACTTTGGGCAGTATTACACGGGGTAAAAAAACACTTCTTACATTTTCATGAATTTGGCAATATTAAAGGTAGCCTGCTTGCCGCCTGGAATTTCCAGGCTAGCAATAAGGCAATTATAATTGCAAATTGCAACTTGCTATTTTATTTTTAATTTAATACGTCAATATACTGGGGGCCATTCCATTTAACATCCACACCCCCCTAAGACAAATTTTTCTGAAGGGTGACCCCAAAGTTGTTTCTGAGGGAATTAATAAGCCTGTTGGCGTCATTTGATCTCTGCGATTTTTCTGAGGGGGTTTTTGTGTCGGCACTTTGATCTTTTTTTCTTTATAATAAGGGTTAAAATTCTACTGACTCGTCCATAGGGTGTGGGGGTGTGCCGGATATTAAATGGAATGGCCCTGGTCCAGTTAAAACTTAGGTGCAGCAGATTGTGGACTTTGTGGTCAACTTTGGAACTGTTGAGAAGGCAAATTAAACTAAAAATAATTCAATATTTTTAGCCGTACCTGACTGCATGGTACATACTCCAACAATTTTTGCCGAGTACTTAAGTTGACAAGCAAACACTGCCTAAGGGAGTGGTCATTATTTATGGGGAGGGGGAGTGGTAAATGGGGAAAATAATGATTCAAAACTTTTTTGACCCCCCCCCCCCTCCAGACTGAAGGCAAACTTTTTGTGCCTGCCCCTCATAAAAGTAGAAACGTTTCTGATGCCCCCCCCCAGTGTGGATTGAAAAATTAACAGCAATGAAACAGGTGTGTTGCAGGTAAAGTTAGATATTAGGACAATCTGTTTAATCTAGCTCATGATGTTTTACCCTGGTGAATATGATTCAACCATATATGATTAAAAGACCTTAAAAGATATATATTATGTGTTACTACTTTGCAATGCAACATTTGTCCTGCCATAACCCTAACCCATGGCCCGTCTTCATACAGCGAAATGATTTGAACACAGGGCTTTTTTAAGAACTTGTCTGAGGGGTGGGCATCAACAAAATGGGACCATACTATACTGAGTGTGGAGAGATGACAGATAGTTGTTGCTGACAATAAGTTTGGTTTGATATGGTATGTACTAATAGGGGGGTCTGGAGGTATTCTCCCCCAGGAAATTTTTTTATATTTTTCCACTCCTAGGACTGAAATTAGCCTCCTCCGCAGGCCTCTCTATGGGTTCTAGCCTGCGAATGGGTTTTGAAAAAAAATTTTCCCACCACCCGATTTCTCAGGTGAGATGCCTGCGGAGGAGGCTAGACTGAAATGTGAGCATTTTCTAAAACAGATTTTGGATATAGAGTGTTACATTGTTCTTTGATAGACCGAATCTGATCAGTTAAGTTTACTTGCATCGTATGTTTTAATATGTAAATACCACAACTGGGTCACTCAGGGGGTAGGAAGCTTGTTAAACTTAGTGGGCCCGACTCCCACGAAGCGCAACCATGCCAGGTGATCTCGGAACTCGGAAAAGGCCTGGCACTAGTTTTAAAATAGAAATCCATTTCTGGTTTAAAATTACTCAACATCTCATTAACGGTAATAAATTTCTATCTCAAATTTGTCCCAGATATTCATTTCCCTGTGCAAGACACAGACACAAAGTTTCAAACAGTTTCGCAAAAGAATCGGGGTGTGACAAGTGATTAAAGGTACGAAACTGGATTTCTATTCTGTTGCTAGTCCCAGTCCTTTCGCTAATCGTCAGATCACCTGGTGGTTGGCAAGGAGCAGGGAAATTTTGAAAATTTTGAGTCTCTAGGTCGTTGGAAATGGCATTTTCAGAGTCTTCTTTTGTGATTATAGAAATCAAAACTCTAGACATGGTATTTAAGTTCAAAAACTTTTTTGACCCCCCTTTCTCTGCGTTAAAACTTTTTTTATCCCTCCCATTTATAAGGGTAAAACTTCGTTTCCCCCCCCCTCCCATTTACCAACCCCCCCTCCCCATAAATAATGACCACTCCCTAAGGCTACTTCTGAGTAAAAAATTACACCTTTCTGAATTTTATATGTTTAATAAATACATTTACTAGTATGCAATATATCACACATAAAACTAAATGCTCCACATTTATTCATTTGGTTAGTTCATGATAAACATTTTATGCTAATAACAGGAAATAAAACTTTTTTAAGATTTCCAACAGCCAAAAACGTTCTGATCACATTGCATGGTTTACTGGCCTAAAAGCAAAAACTATAGGGACAATTTTGTTGAAACAAATCTTTAATTAATGGTATTTGTACGACATAACATAACAATTGTCAAAGCACATTGTTGCGACTCGAATGCCATCGCTCAGTTACAGTAGATTTACAGTCAGAGGGTGCTAACAGCCTAATCTCATCAAACCATTTCTGGACATCTATATAGCATTAGTATAATTACATAGGTGATTATTGCAAATTCTCCACGCTGATTGGTGACCGTTGAGATGATTATTACGCGATAATCACCTAAGCGATTTTCAAAATGGTGGCCGAAGCCGTTTTGTCAATTAAAAGACGAAGAAATGTGCATTTCTTTATTTTTTTCCAAATAATCACCCATGAAATTATACTAAAACAATTATTCACCTCAGGCTCGGTGATTATCGTGAATAAAAGTAGTAAGGTGAGGGGCTTAATACACCCCGTTTATGCGCATAATTAAGGGGGTTATGCAAATTAATTAGCATAATCGATGACGTATTTTTCCGATGATTTTCCGACGATGATAAAACAACGAGGGCTTTCCGATAATTAATTTGCATAATGATGACGTATTTTCCGAAGATTCTCCGAGGCTGATAAAACAACGAGAGCTTTCCGATTAGTCGCCATTTTGTTTCAAGATGGCGGAAGGGTTAATAATGGCGGGTTTAAGGGAAAATAACATTGAATTGAGTGTGAATACTTTTCGTTTCCATTTAAAATTGCTTTTGGAAAAGCATGGGGGTTTATTTGAGAGCATGATATCTCGTATTAGAAGAGAGAACGTGCTAGAAAATTTGTGTGTAATCTATCAAGAGTTAGAACCTTCAAATTTTGGTAGAATTATGGCTTACTTGACTTTAGTTTACAAAGTCAGTGATTTTTGCGAGCCTGAAATTGTGCAAGAAGCCCTAGAAATCTGTGTATGGGAATTAAAACAAGTGGATTGCGCTAGCTTTGAAATAAAACAATCTTGGATACAACGCTTAGTTGCATGGTTACGCGACTAGTAACCTGGCGAAATTTGAATATCACTAATCCGGGTTGAATAGCAAAAGTCATTAACTGTTTTACATGGCTGAACACATTGTAATTTGACGACATTGCCCAGGCGCGTTTGTGCTGACTTAGCAGGAAAACTGGCCTTAACGATAGGACATAAGTGCCGCGCATCAGACAGTATCATTGTCGTTTACCTACAGCAATGGAGTGTTTGCATGGATTGCCAGCATCCGCGGTTTCTACAAAAAATGGAAAATTTTGGCTTTGCAACAGAAATAATCCCAAGAGTTGTGAATTCTTCTGCCCTGATCAAGACCGCTCGTTGTTCGAAACGGCCATGGCAATGTGGAGAGCGAATGGCCCAATTCATCCGGTGTGTGATACTCACCAAAGGCTAGCAAGAATGAAAGTCGTCAAAGACGTTAGTAAACTGAACTTTGGAAGGCCGTTTTTTGTTTGTTGCGACCGCGAGAATCCATGTAAGTTCTGGCAGTGGGCTGACAGACACGAGTTGCCAAAACCAAAATGCAGACACGGATTGAATGCTTGCGTACGGAAAGTCAAAAAGGAAGGAGAAAATCAAGGTCGCCTTTTCTTTTGTTGTCCAAACGAGCGAGAAAAGTCGTGCGGATTTTTTGAATGGAAACTCGATCTGGAAAACCCGTTCAACCAAGTTCATTTTCCTCACGTTGAAAGAGTTGGTATATTGCAGAGTAATCCTGCGCTGTACACATACATGGTAGCTGAAACTGGACTTACCTTTACCAGCGCACGGGAAAATCCACACGATGCCTACGCCGAATATATTGGGGAATTGCCTATTTTCTCACCAACGGGGGATATGGAGCAACTGTCACTGATAGACTATTAGGAGACTATAATTAAGCTATTAAAATATTGTTATATTAACCCGAACAGAACACTTAACCTAAACCTAGTGAGTGAAATGTTGTATAAATACTATAAATAAAAAATCATAATCGTTTTTCTTTCAGTTCAAATAAAATTACTTCGTCGTCTTCTTCACACCTAAGAGGGTAAAGTTCTATAGGATTGCGACGGATGACGCGTTGCCTTTGTAGTAGAAACCTGCGCCGTATCAGGAACACGCACACTGCTAGGACAATCACCAACGGTAAAATCGCGATCAGCCATAGCATTTTTCTCCCTTCCTTTTTCCATTTTTTGTTCGTTGAAGGTTCAGTTCGGCTCAAACGACCCGAATCGTGTTTTGCGGTACTGTGATTAAACTTATTGGACACGGCAAAACAGAAAAAAAAAAAAATTCAACAAAACAACGATAACCCGAACAGAACACTTAACCTAAATCTAGTGAGTGAAATGTTGTAAATACGCTTTGGCCCGAATAGTACAAAAAGTACAAATATTTTTACGTAGACTCTAACTCTACCATTGCCTACAAGGGCGGACATTATGAAAAAGACTTACTGAACAGTCTCAGTATTCCAGCCGTAAATTGGGAGTCCTTTGGATGTCCTGAGGCTGGGGAACTCTTTGAAACCTGCAAAAAACCACCTGTCAACACTGTCCGAAAGTTGTGTAATACCATTAACAACTGAATCGTATCAACGCAAGTATTACGTAATTGTACTGCACTGATAATATTACATACTGAGTCTAAGCCTTTGAAAATGAGTTTTTCACAAAATTTTGAGACTGCTCATGAGCGAATGCTCATCTGCTCACAAGGCCCGTTTAACCCAAACTACTGTGTATGAGCAGATGAGCATGATGAGCATGTGCTCATAACTGCTCATGAGCACATGCTCATCTGCTCATGAGGCCCGTTTAG